GAAAACGAAATTTATGGATAACTATTTGGACAAATACGTATCAGAGAGAGGAACAGCGTAAGTAGGAATAAAATTTTTCGTAATCAAGAAGCTTGAAACTACTTCACCGACAAGGTGACTAGTTATTTATCTCAGCTGCATCGACTTAATAAACTCTTTCCTTAAAATAATGAGTTAAACATCGAAAGAAACAAATAATAACAGTATTTCTTTTCCTAATTTTTCCATAAATAACTCTGATAACTCCCGTTATACTAACGTTTATCGTAAATCTACCAACACAGACAAATATTTAAACAGATATATTCGCAATGATGTAAATAATAAAAGATAAGTAGTTACAGCTTTAACAGTCAGAGTTTTTAAACTCTGCAGTAATGAATTTCTTAAAGCGGATATAAATCATACTAGTATAACTCAATGCAATAACAACGACTACTCCAGTAAAATGGCTAATAATAGAAACCATGAAACAAGAAATTTTAAACTAACTTGCAATATCAATAATATCAAAAATTACAAAGCATACTCAACATTAAATATAGTATTAACGTAACACTTAATAGTTTCAATAAACCAAACACTTCATATGGTGATTCTGAGAACAATAATTCGCTAGACAGTGTTCATAAATTACTACGTAACCGTAGGGAAGATCAATTTGGCGAAACAGGGAACAGCCGCTCTCAAGGAACAAAGTTTACTTGTCAAGAGAGAGAAAGTGGATGATAGCGAAAGAGTATGAACAGCAAGTGCTAACAAAGCAGCAGGAAAGGGAAAGCCTCTATCCCAACCAAGTCAAGGAACAGCGCCGAAAGATCAGGGATTGTGCACCACGCAATGAAGGAAGTTCACGCCAAACTGATGGTCAGAATTTAGCGGCATCGTCAAAAAAAGAAACTGGACGAATAGAAGGTCAAAAAGACCTAGTCTTGCTCAAAGAGACCTAATTAGACATCCAGTCTTGTGACAATGTCAGTCATAATAGAGAGTTGTCCGAGAATTACTTAACCGGCAGAACGGACCGAAAACTCTTCTCTCTGCTCCAAACACTTTATCTGCGCAGACGATCGAAATGATAAGCGAACTTCACTGACACACATATCTGGAAGAAAGCCCATGAGATCTTGGCCAAAAAGCTGGCA